GCATAGTCTTTAATGTCACCTAGTTGCTGCGTTGGCCAGTGCAGGTGCTATCTAGGGACAGGCCCGACAGGGAGGACCAGGGCTCTGGAACGCAAGGAACTCTGCTGAAGAGAGGACACAGCAGGGCACACAGCTCACACTGGCCCTAGGCGGTGGTGGTGACTGGCTCGTCCTGTGGAGAACCCAGCCAGGACAAAGGCTAGCCCTGCAACCAGAGCAGCCATGCACCAAGCCGCAGAGCTGAGAAACTGGCCTGGCAGCTCCAGTCACGCTATTGCAACTCCACCCAAAGCAATGAGGCAGATGCCGTAGGCTGGGCTCCCAGGCTCATCTAAAAATAATCCAGTGACCCCTTAGTGTTCTTGGGTCAGGGGTGGGGTGTGCGCAGCTGCCCCCTTTCCAATGGTCCAATCCAGGAGTGGTGAGCCTGGGACTCACCTTTAGCCAGAGGCCTCATACGCAGTTGGGTGCATTCCCTCATCTTACCTCCTGCATCCATCCAGGGCAGATGCATGCTGCTGGGTCACTGCTTTGCAGCCGTAATGCAGGGCAGGGCTAACTTCTGGAGCAGAGAGGGAGCTGTGTATGGGGTCAGGTGTCATGCTGGGGGGCAGTGGGTAAGACCTTGGCTGGAGATAGCCAGGGCTGCTTGCAGACAGGCTGCTCCAACACCCATGCTAACTGATTGATTGGCCTTGGAGGTGCAGCTTGTGTGAAAGGCCATTGCTCTGGGAGTTCCTATGCAGCACGGGGGAGGCAAATTGGTGCTGGCACCTGCAGACAGAGACCGTGCACTTGGCTACCAGAATAAATCTTTGGCCTGGAGCCTGGCTGGGAAGGTGGCTCGGTGTGTTGCAGTGCAAACAGGGACTGGGGGGGGTCCCGAGGGCAGCCCCAACGTGAGCAGCCCTGCTGGAAATGAGGCCTGGATTCTCCCTCTGGCTCCCTGGGCCTTTCGCTAGAGGGTCTCCGTTATCCACCACTACCCCTGCACCCAAGGCCAGGGTTAACCGGGGGGGTCAGCAATCAAGCTGCAGGGAGCTAGCGGCCATGCCAGAGTGGCACTGGCCTTTGGGCTGAATGAGGCACGGCTATGGATGATTACATGAAATGGAGCTGCCTCCCCTCGGCCCCAAACGCATGGCAGTTCTGGCCCCGTCTACATACCTGCTTCTCCTTGATGAGGGCCCTCCTTGGGTTACAGAAGCTTTGCTCAAATGAAGGCCCCTGGCTGACGCTGTTTCAAGCTTCTGCGTGTCCCTGGGAGACAGGCGAGGATGCTGCCGTGGCTTGTGGAAAAGGTGAAGATGGAGGAAGCCAGCCTGGCTGTCCCCCTCCGCACTCTCCCCCTGGCACCACCCCTCACTCTCCTCCCTGCGCTGGCAGCAGCCGAACACACAGCTTGGAAGTCAAGAGCAGGAAACTGGTCACGTGCCCTTCTCTGCCAATTGGAGCAGGGTATAATGAATGACAGGTCATATCTAAGCTCACCCCTGTTGCCATCACTCTAAGTGGGCAGTGCAGTGCATGCTGGGAGTTTGTGCTTCATGAAGTCATGGGCACAGCAGCCGGTGCTGCATGCACAGAGGCAGGGTTCTCAAACTCCATAGCTAAGAGAGGGCTTCTGCCCCAGGAGCCTGAGCCCGCGGCTGCTCAGTGGCTCCTGGTTCTTCCTATATAGTCTGCACTCACCTGGGCGAATGCAATACATGATACAGCAGCAGCCTGGCCCAGCCCCGGGGCATTAGCAGCAGCAGCATCGTGGGCCTGCCTGCCTGACGCGAGCAGAAGGGCCAGCCGCTCTCATCCCATCCCATCCGCCTTGCCCAGCCCAGAACAGTCTAGCAGCACTCAGCCCTAAAGGAAAATAAAGAGAGAGTCACATGCCTTCTGGCCAGCCTCCTTACAACCAGAGTATTCACACCAGCGCTCCTGGTGGAGAATGAGACTCAGGGCACGAAGCTGACTCTGGCTGGCCAATGTGGCCACTTGGCCAGGCCACCTTTGGAGAGCAGACCTAGTGCTCCAGGGGGCCAGCTCTAGGAACTCACAGTACAGGTGTTGGCAAGGCTAGCCAAGGGGCTCCCCCGTGCATTGGGCTGGATTCTCAAAGGCACCCACAGCCTTGGGGAGCTGTCATGACCAGAAGAAAATCCAAGCTCTCCTTCACAATGCCCAGCTAACACTCCCCCACCTTAGCTGCCAGTCAGGCCCCATGGAATGCTCTCCCTGGAGTCTGGCACCTGCCTTCTGCATCTCACTGTACCCACCAGAGTCATGGGGGAGCCATCAGAGCCTCACCCCAAAGCTAAGTCCTTCCCCCCCCCTGCTGGTGTATGGCTAGTTCTGCAGAGGGATTCCCAGGCACAGCATGGAGGCAGCCAAGGTGTGGCAGTGCAGACAGCTGGTTTTGAAGCTTCTCCATTGTGCACTTTCCCTCTATAGGTTCAGCCAGTCCTCTGTAGAGGGGAACGTTCAGTCTTTCTCACAGCAGAACATGCCTTGCTTAGAAGCTGTTTTCTCCCCTAGAAATGTCAAATCATTCCTACCAAAAAAGGGATTAACTATTTCCATGCCGTGGTGCCGGAACTAGGGGTGCTACTGCACCCCCTGGCTTGTAGTAATAACCAACACCAAATGGATGGTTTCCATCAGCAGCACCGCTGTTTCCATATAACCACCACCACACCCCCACACTTCTCTTTGGGGAGAACTAAAGTCAAAGGATGTCATTTGCTGAGCCTCAGCCAGAGGCACATTGGGGTGAATTACCCTGACAATCCAGTTCTACTGCCTGAGACTCACAGGCATCCCAGCGCATGAAACCTCCCCTGAAGTGGCAACTCTGTCTGAGCCTTAAGTGACAGATCAGAATAGGTTTCACACCACCACCTTGGCCCCAAAACCCCAATGTTGCCCAAAGGTCCTTAGAGCTCTTATATCCACACAGCACTTTTGCGTCAGCATGCACACACAAACCATTGCCTAGCTGAAGTGCCGATCACTCCACAGTGGAATGCAAACGTCACCATACCCAGCACTTTAGGGCAGGAAGCGAAGAACAGCCGTCCAACTGCTGGGGGGACTTCACAAGGCAGAGGATAATCACTCATTGGTTGGCCAGGGCTTTCAGCCATTCTCTCCCAGCGTCTATCCTTGTACCCCAGCCCTTCACAACTGGGGGGTGTTAGGGAAGAATATTTCTAGCATCTGTTCTTTGCATCCACGTCCTGCCTACCACAGGTAAGCACTCCACATTCTTACCTATTCTTCAAACACTTTGAAGAGCTGGTTTCAACTAAAGATTTTTGTTGATGGCAATCCCTCATTTCCAGTTAGCAACAGCAGCTAGTTTTAAGACTGCCCGGATTAGCACCTTGAACCTAATTAAGGCCTTCAATGCTAGCACAACACAAATAGTGCATTTCAGGGGAACTAAGCCCTGTATTGCAGCAGGGATAATGCACTTCATGCCAGACAAAACCAAATGAACCTTATTTTTAAAGGGCTGGTAATCAAAGGGGCACTGTAGTGTTAGTGAATCTATAACGGAGTAGTTGGAAAGAGCCAACTCAGGCTGAGAGTAGGAATGAGGAAGGGTGGTTGTAAGATGAAGGCATCACATCCGGGACCCACCAGTCTCTGAGCTCTGGTCCTCAGGCACCTGGCTCAAAGGTGGGGTTAAGTTACTATTCTTATCGGCCTGTGACAAGATAAGCATGGTTAGATTGTGAGATGCTCACATACTATAGCGATGGCCATATGACTAGATTGTAAACAGAGGCTAATTACAGCAGTGTTAAAACTAAGGAGAGGTTTTAAGATACTATTGCCTATCCCTCAAGACAGACATCTTCCCCCAGGAGATCCTGTGAGGGCAACATCTATTTGCCCACCATTTACAAGTCTCTGGCCTTCAGCCACTGTCAGAAGACAGCCCTCCTCTCACCCTTAGCTCTGGTTTGTACGCAGTGTCCCCTGTGCAGTAACACCTCCCTAAGTACTGAACAAACTTGGTTCCCCCTCATGGCTCCCACCCCCACAGTACATGAGCAGCTGGAATCTCCCAGGAACATCCTTCAGTTGACTTTATTTTTACCACTAAAACACATATGCGTCTGACAGAAGAGAAGCTGGTATCTGGCTAAGCCAGACAGGGTGAAGGCACTTGTGATCAACCAGATGAACTGAACATGAGAACTTCTGTAAAGGTCTCATTTGAAATCAGTGAAGTAGCTACACCAAGCATGAGGTTATTACATGGGGAGTCGCGAGCTGTCAGCCGCCACCCCAAACCCCACTTTGCCTCCAGCATTTATAATTGTGTAAAATATATAAAAGTGTTTTTAAGGTATAAGGGGGGGGTCGCACTCAGAGGCTTGCTGGGTGAAAGGGGTCGTCAGTACAATAGTTTGAGAACCCTTGAGTTACACAATGGCGGCAGCAGCAGGCAAAAAAATGAAACCAACCCGCCAAAGGATGAAGCCCTGATCCATGAAGAACGTTTTATTCTCTGTGAAACGCGCTGCACAGAGCACTTTGAACAGGGTCTGACTGAGCCTAGGGGTAAAGTGGAACAGCCGCATCAGAAGCCATTGGTATTTAAACTCCATGTAGTTAAAGCAGCATCAGCGTGTTGCAAGAGTAGCCAGGGGTAAGGCAAGAGCTGCGTGTTGAACAGAACAGACAGAGATTTAAGTCTCGTGCAAGGAGAATAAGGAGCTGGGGTGGAGATGTCCCTGTACCTCTTCCTGTGCTTCACCACCACCAAATTCCTGTAGACTCGCTCCTGGGAAGCCTGTCCTGCTGCAGGTGTTTGGGAGAGCGTTACAGTCCCACCTCGGAAATGGCATTTAGAGTCTTCCACTTCCGTAATGTTGCATGAAACTGAGCTATTGCCCCATACAGTGTTTACGTATGCTTCAAGCCACTGCAATTGTGCCAAGTGCCCCAAAAGTCCCCCAGAGAGCCCTCCGTCACAGAACACAAGAGCCCACAAGTGGTTTTACAAAGTTTATTATCTCATCTGCCCAGCTCTTGGTGGATGCACTTTAGATTATTCCAATCTGAAAGGAAACAAAAGGAACGATGTTACAGCCTGAACCCTGACCACGTGAAGATGGAGATTCCAAGATGTAGAACAGTGGCAATGAATCCATCTCCCCCCAAAAGCTCTAGTCCTATGCAAACATCCCGCCTGCCCTAGCTCAAACAAAGCAAATGCAACATTCCTGCAGTACCTAATCTTGCCTACAACAAACACAAGTAGATGAACATTTGCCATAGAACAGCCTGGCACAATAAGACGCACAACAGCCCCACTAAAATGCCTGTTACCCCCACTTCTGACCATCCTGTTTAAGAGGCAGGCCCCGAGGCTGGTTTGAGGGGCACCATGCTCCTATTCCGCTGTAGAACTAACTGCTCTTCCCCCAGCCCAGCAACAAAAATTCTACCCTGGCCTAGCAAGTGCCAGGAGTATCCGTATAATGTGTGGTGTTTTGGCATGTTCTACTCAACACCTGGCAAGTCATTGGACAGCTTAAGTTGTGTCAGAGAAGCTCTTTTAGAATAGCGCAAAGATTTATTCCCCCTGTTAAGAGACTGTAAGCAAGATTTATAGAGCATGTTTCATCCCAAAGTATTTCCCAGACCAACTACACATGATCACTGACCCCTACTGCAATATAGCCCCTCTCCTTGGAGGAAAAAGGGGAATAAACAGACATTCTTTGCCAGCAACCTCTATGCAGCATTATTAAGAGAGTAAGTGAGGAATTACTCTTCCAGCTCAAAGTGCTGGTTAAGTTAGGGAGGCAAAATGTTGGGCTGTGAGCATGACCAATACCTTCATTCTTAAATGAATTGCTCCAGAGCCATTTGTTCCTAGCTGCTGATCAATATCCCAGAGTCCCTGCATGAGTACATTTCTGACGGAAGCCAACGATAACATTACTGATCAATTATGATACCTCTTCCCCTTCCTGTCATTTCTTACGAGGTCAGGGTCAATAGCCACTTTAGTATGAAACGTCCTAAAGGCTTTTTAAATCTAACGGCTCTAGCCCAGTGACCACTAAGAATTCTACTAAGAATCTGTGAGAAATTCAATTCCCCATGGAGCGCAGGAATTACTGCCCTACTTCAGCACAGCACCCTCCGAGAATAACAGCCTTGATCTCAGCTGTATGTCAAAACAGGGTCTGGCTGGGGCAGAGTAGATAGGGCAGATGAAAATGAGAAAATTCAAGAGTCTCCATTCTCACCTTGTTGGCTACATCCAATGCATCATAGTCTGGAGCAAGACGGACATAAGCCTTCTTCTCACCATCGGGCCTAGAATGAAGCATGAGGCATTAGTACCCACAACTCCCTATTTCTTTTCCAGTTGCGCAGTATCACGTTGTGCATCAGTGGTTCCTTTGAAAACATCACTGTACTCAGTTGAAGTAGTTTTCCATCATTTGCACAAAGAAATTCCCTTGGTTGCTTCCAAAAGAGCTGCTCAGATCAACTGGCTGGTACCTCAGTACTGCAGGTTACTCCTTTCAGCCAGTGATTACAATTCACATTCCACCATGACATGCTCCGATTCAAAGCCAAGATTGTACAACAAAATCATGACAGATCTTGAACTCTGCAACTCACATACTGTAACCTACAAACCAAGAAACTCAGCTATAACTGTCTTTATATACAGCACTGAGGAAGCATATGAATAAATCAGAAAACTCAGATATCTCTGTATCATTAGAACCTTTCCCCCCCTACACACACACACAGCTAGTCTTCTGGGTTCCAGTTCCACGTACCTGCTAGTTTCATTCAAGCCAGGTACATTTTCCCTTAAACTTTTAAATCAATTATCTGCTTAAACACTATCCAGGGCACTTTGAAACATCTTACACCCACGAGTGCTCTATTTCCCTCCCATTTAACCCAGTGTCACTTACCGGATCAATGTGTTGACCTTGGCCACATCAATATCATACAGTTTCTTGACAGCCTGCTTGATCTGATGTTTGTTGGCCTTGACATCTACAATGAAGACCAGGGTGTTGTTATCCTCTATCTTCTTCATGGCTGACTCTGTAGTCAGAGGGAACTTGATGATGGCATAGTGATCAAGCCTGTGTGGGAGAAGCATTTGTGTTACAGAACACTGGCAGCAGTGAGGTATGCTAGAGAAAGCTCCTTCACACAGCAGACTGTCACTATAGATCTAGGAAACTTCAGGGTACATCAGTCACTAGTAAGATTGTAATCACAAGCTCTCAGGCTTTGGTCGCATGGAATCATCATTTGCACCCCAAACATCCATTACAAAAGCGAAGTAATTAAGAAAGCTGCCAAGACATTGTTATTTCAGTTTCCAAAACACAGCTCTTCCATTCACTGAGACCAGTTCTACACTAGAAATCTGTTTGCAATGTTGCTTCAAGGTGTAATTTTCTGCAGCATCTTTATACCAGCAAAAACCCTAGTGTGGATGCAGTTATACCAGTAAAAAAGTGCTTTTGTCAGCATAGCTTATTTCACTCACTTTTTTGCCGTATAAACAGCATCTGCAATAGGAGGGGTTGCTGGTTCTGCAACTAATCAACCTTTTCTAGTGTAGACTTGACCTAAAACTACTAGCTTGTATTTTACTTATGATTCTCCAATATAAACATTACATTTAACAAGTGAAGTATTTATAAAAAATTTTTTGATAAGATTATGACTAAAACCAAGCTGGCTTTAGATCAAGAAACTCAAGTGTGATGGAGATGGGGGGAAGGTGTCCAGACCTTTCAGTGGATATACTGAAACAGATTTTAAAGGAAATGGACCACACAGTCATACTTGTTCCTCCGAGGAGCACTCTTCCTAGGATATTTGGGCTGTCTCCGTAATCGTAAAGTTTTGGGCCTCCTGAAGGTGGGAGATGTCCTGATTTTCTTCTTCTTGTGACTGTGGACTCCTTTCAAAACGGCCTTTTTAGCCTTCAGCGCCTTGGATTTTGCCTCTGTCTTAGCGGGGACAGCTACAAAGAACAGGCTGGTTAGAGGAGGCTGGCAGCAGCAGGTCTGTTGGCCTCGACAACCAGGGACTTTACACTCCCGCCACACATTCAGCACACTGGCAGCCTACTAGGCAGCACCCTCAGCCCCGGGAACCCCTGCCACAGCCCCCTGTACAGATCCTACGAGTGGAGACGAGACCCCGCTCAGTCCAGGAGCTGCCCTTCACGGAATGAGCCAAGCGACACGGTCGGGCACTCCCGGAGGAGCCCTCGGAAGGACCAGGCGGAGCTTTGCCGAGTCTTGCTCCTGGGCCGGGGACCCCCCCACGCTGCATGTCCCGTTACCATCGCTTGCGAACGTGCCTCACTCGCCCTCACGGCTCCCTCGCCCTCACGGCTCCCTCGCGCCCCGGTACCGGCCCGGCCCCGCTCTGCCGCGCCACGTGGGATGCCCAGGCCGCCCTCCCCCCACCCCGGGCCGGGCCTCAGCCAGGCCGCCCCCGCGCCGCAGCGGGGCCCCGGGAACGGCCAAGCCGGCGGGCCCCCGGGGCCCCCCGGGGGGGGGGGGGGGGGCTGGCGCTGGGCCGCGCGGCTCCGGAGGCCGCTCTGGGCCTAGCCGGGTGCTCCCCGCACTACGCGCCCGGCCCGGCCCCGGGGTCCTCGGCAGCCGCCCGTGGGGCGCAGGCCCCGCAACGGGGAGCGGGCAGAGCCAGGCGGCCGCCCCCCGCCCCGCGCGGCGGCCGCGGTCCCCCCTCACACTCACCCTCCTTCTTCGCCTTCGGCGCCATCTTGGGAAAAGGGAAGCGAAAAGGGCCTGCTCGGCCGCCTCACACGGGCTTATAGGGCCAACTCTCACGAGAGTAGGCACAAGCAACGCGAGATCGAGCATGGCATGCCGGGAGTGGTAGTTCTCGTTCCAGACAGAGAGACGGAAGGAGAGTTGGCACGAGAGCATGCGCAGAAAAGTACCTGCGGGTGGTGCATATTGGGGGTTGTGGGTTTTTTTATTACCGCAGCGTTTGTAATTTTTTATTAATATTAATTTTGTTAATTAATAGTAGGGCTGTCGATTAATCGCAGTTAACTCACGCAATTAACTCAAAAAATAATCGCGATTAACAAATTAATCGTGATTAATTGCACTGTTAAACAATAGAATACCCACTGACATTTATTAAATATTGTGGATGTTTTTCTACAGTTTCAAATATATTGATTTCTATTGCAACACAGAATACAAACTGTACAGTGCTCACTGTATATTATTTTTATTATAAATATTTGCACTGTAAAAAACAAAATAAATCGTATTTTCCAATTCTCCTCATACAAGTACTGTAGTGCAATTTCTTTATTGTGAAAGTGTAACTTACTAATGTAGATTTTTTGGTTTGTTATATAACTGCACTCAAAAACAAAACAATGTAAAACTTTAGTGCCTACAAGGCCACTCAGGCCTACTTCTTGTTCAGCCAATCGCTCAGACAAACAAGTTTATTTACATTTACAGGAGATAATGCTGCCTGCTTCTTAGTTACAATGTCACCTGCAAGTGAGAACAGGCGTTCGCATGGCACTTTTGTAGCCAGCATTGCAAAGTATTTACATGCCAGATATGCTAAACATTCGTAAGCCCCTTCATGCTTCAGCCATCATCAGGGCCGTCTCCAGGGTTTTTGTCGCCCCAAGCAGCAAAAAAAAAAAAGACGCGATCGCAATCAGCTCTACTGCCGCCGCTTCAGTCTTCGGCGGCAATTTGGCGGCTGGTCCTTCGCTCTGAGAGGGGCCGAGGGACCCGCCGCCGAAGAGCTGGACGTGCCGCCCCTCTCCATTGGCCGCCCCAAGCACCTGCTTGCTGGGCTGGTGCCTGGAGCTGGCCCTGGCCACCATTCCAGAGGACATGCTTCCATGGTGATGATGCTTGTTAAAAAAAGAATGCATTAATTACATTTGTGACTAAACTCCTTGGGGGAGAATTGTATGTCTCCTGTTCTGTTTTACCCGCATTCTGCCATATATTTCCTATTACAGCAGTCTTGGATGATGACCCAGCACATATTCATTTTAAGAACACTTTCACTGCAGATTTGACAAAACGCAAAGAAGGTACCCATGTGAGATTTCTAAAAATAGCTACAGCACTCGACCCAAGATTTAAGAATCTGAAGTGCCGTCCAAAATCTGAGAGGGATGAGGTGTGGAGCATGCTTTCAGAAGTCTTAAAAGAGCAACACTCCGATGCAGAAACGACAGAACCTGAACTACCAAAAAAAGAAAATCAACCTTCTGCTGGTGGCATCTGACTCAGATCATGAAAATGAACATGCGTCGGTTCGCTCTGCTTTGGATGTTTATCGAGCAGAACCTGTCATCAGCATGGATGCATGTCCTCTTGAATGGTGGTTTAAGCATGAAGAGACATATGAATCTTTAGCGCATCAGACACGTAAATATATTGCGACACCAGCTACAACAGTGCCATGTGAACGTCTGTTCTCACTTTCAGGTGACATTGTAAACAAGAAATGGGCAGCATTATCTCCTGCAACTGTAAACAAACTTGTTTGTCTTTAGCGATTGGCTGAACAAGAAGTAGGCCTGAGTGGACTTGTAGTTTCTAAAGTTTTACATTATTTTATTTTGAATGCAGTTATTTTTTGTACATAATTCTACATTTTTAAGTTCAACTTTCATGATAAAGAGATTGCACTACAGTACTTGTATGAGGTGAATTGAAAAATACTATTTATTTTGTTTTTTACAGTGCAAATATATGTAATAAAAATAAATATAAAATGAGCACTGTACATTTTGTATTCTGTGTTGTAATTGACATCAATATATTTGAAAATGTAGAAAACATCCAAAATATTTAAATAAATGGTATTCTATTATTGTTTAACAGCGCGATTAATCGTGCAATTAATCACAATTAATTTTTTAATTGTGGTTAATTTTTAATCGCTTGACAGACCTAATTAATAGTTTAATATTTTTATCTTATTAAGCACATCCATCCAGGAGTCCCAAAACAGGTTACAAATGAATGGTATATGGGGTAGTGACATTTCTAATCACATATTGAAATTCAGTACATCTAATAATAATGAGATGTGTTAATACAAATATTTTTAAAATATAAGAAGACACAAGCTGACATTGCTTCAGAGGGAGTGAACAGAACATGGCAATTTATTGAGTGATTTATCCCCTGTTGTCCAGGGGATGAATCACTCAATAAAAGAGGCGAGGCTGAGGGAACTGGGCTTGTTTAGTCTGCAGAAGAGAAGAGTGAGGGGGGGATTTGATAGCAGCCTTCAACTACCTGAAGGGGGGTTCCAAAGAGGATGGAGCTCGGCTGTTCTCAGTGGTGGCAGATGACAGAACAAGGAGCAATGGTCTCAAGTTGCAGTGGGGGAGGTTTAGGTTGGATATTAGGAAACACTATTTCACTAGGAGGGTGGTGAAGCACTGGAATGGGTTACCTAGGGAGGTGGTGGAATCTCCATCCTTAGGGGTTTTTAAGGCCCGGCTTTACAGAGCCCTGGCTGGGATGATTTAGTTGGGGTTGGTCCTGCTTTGAGCAGGGGGTTGGACTAGATACCTCCTGAGGTCCCTTCCAGCCCTGATATTCTGTGATCCAGCACTTCTAGCAGGCAGGGTGTGGGGCTGCATCCCTGAACATCTTCGCTAGTAGCAGAGGCCTGAGCAGGGGCCTGGATGGCTGCTACCCCCAGAGAGCAGCATTGGCTCGGCCACGCACCAGCCTGGGAGCCTCTCCCATCAGCCGGGCTGTGCGGGGCAGGGCTCCTCTCTGGGCCAAGCTGGCGCCCCGGCCCCTGCTCCGTCCGCTTGTTCTGCAGATCTGGCAGCCGGAGCCCGCCGGCTCCCCGGCCATACCGCCGGCTCCCGGCGAACAGACGGGACTGGTGCCCCGGGACCCGGGAGGGGCGAGGCCGGGATGTCCCGCCGGAGAACCGGGCCGGATGCTCTGCGGGGGGCTCTGCCTGCCCCCGCCCCCCGGAGCCTCAGCCTGTGAGTCATTAACCAGGAGCAGCTGTCGTGGGAAGGAGCCCAGCCGCCTCCCAGCCCCGCCGGCGCCGGAGCGCCCCCCATGCGGAAGGTACGGAGGGGACCCGGCCCAACACGAGCTAGAGCCAGAAACCGGCAAGTGGGGACCGGGCGGGAAGAGCCAGCTCCACGGCATCCCGGGGGCGGCCCGGGCCCGGGGGGAAAGGGGGCATCCCGGGGGGCGGCAGGGTGAGGGGGCTGCCCGGGGGGTGGCGGGGTGAGAGGGTGGCCCGGGGGCGGTAGCTCTGCAGGGCCTGGGGTGCATTGTGTCCCGCGGTGCCCGTTGCCCGGTTCTCTCCCCGGCCCCACGTGTCCCGGCCCCGCTCCCAGCCTCGGGACGCGCAGCCCGGCCGGCTGCTGCCCGCGCAGCCCCTGGAATTTCCGGGGATCAGGTTACCTTCCCCTCCCCCGAAATGCAGCTCATCGCACGAGCTCCCCGCAGCCCGAAGGCGCCGCTGGTGCGGGTGAGTGAGGGCAGGGGGGTCGGGCGGGCTTCCTGGGTTGGGTGCCCCCCCCGGCGAGAGCCCCTTGGGGAGCCCTCCCTCTTGCCAGATGCATCCCCCCCAGTCCCGTGGTGGGTGCCCAGGAGTCCCGGGTAGTTACTGCAGGGCAGGGCTGCCCAGAGGGGGGGGCAAGTGGGGCAATTTGCCCCAGGCCCCACAGGGGCCCCCACGAAAATATAGTATTCTATAGTATTGCAACTTTTTTTTATGGAAGGGGCCCCCGAAATTGCTTTGCCGCAGGCCCCCTGAATCCTCTGGGCTGCCCTGACTGCAGGGTGCTGGGTTCGGGGAAGCTCCAGCCCGAGGCCCCTTCCCCACTGGGTGTCCTGCAGCGGCTCCCCCACGGTAGCCAGTGTAGACTAGACAGTGCCCGGCAGGGGTGGGGGTAGCCCAGGCCCTGCCAAGCTGGTGCCTAGCTCAGTCTGGCCCTGAGAACTGTGCCAGTCCAGCTGGGCAGAGGTGGAGCCCCGCACGTCAGCTTGTCTGCAGCCCGCTCGGGAGCCAAGCCCCTTCTAGCTTGTGGGGCTTCCCTGGTAAGGCGGAGGGTCGGCTGCACCTCTCTCTAGCACGCCCCTCAACATGGATCCAAAGGAGAAAACAGACCAAAGAAAGTAGCTGCTGTGATTACAACCCGGACTGGCTTCTTGGTAGCCCCAGCCAGCCATTTCTCCTGGCCTCTCTCCAGGCAGCACTGCGCCGCCAGGAGTGAAATAGCAAGTGATTGTCGTGCTCCAGAAAGCGGACAAGGAGCGTTGGCTGGAGAGCAAACTCCCAGGATGGAGCTGCAGGAGAGCTCTTGGGTGCTGTCCAACGAGCCACGCGGTCAGCAACCCTGCTAGCCCAGGGACCCCTGCAGGTAGCCGCAGAGCCCAGAGTAGGAGCTGTGTCTGTGGAGCCAGGGAAATGGCTTTGAAGTCCTTCTCTGTACCACATGGAGCTCTGGGAAGCTGCAGCTCCAGCGGAGGCCCAGATGAAATCTCCCCAGGTGCTAGGCAGCTGCTGGGCCAACAGCAAACCTCAAATGTAACACAGAGTGCTAGGAAAGGCCCTTCAGTACCAGAGACACAGGCAGGAATGCAGGGTCCCTGCAGAGGCTCTGGGAGCCACTCCCGGTATGGCCCTTTCCCACCAGCCTAATGTCTCTCTGTGGCGCCTTGGATCAGCCAGGAAGATTTCCTTCAACAGAGCGTTGGAGTAGGCCAGGCTCCCTGCCCTTCAGGCCAAGGTTCACAGCTGTCACCTGCCACCGGCTCGGGCACTTTCTTCCCCCGGTGGGTATCCTCATAGCCTGGCACGGATTGGCCAGAACTGGCCAATGCTGCACAGCGACCCCCAGACACACCGTGGTGCTCTAGGGTCTCCACACTGAATAGCAAAGAAACCGGCCCAGAGCCAGGGCTGCAGGGTGGCCAGCGTGCTGCTGCTACAGATCACGTGCAAGCCATGGAACTGGCCATGCAGCCGGCAGCCGCCCTCGGAGAGCGCAGGGTGCACTGCTCCAGCGATCCCCACGCCACGCTGCTCTCCACTGCTCACGCCTCTGCCGGAAATAGGAGGGCAGCTGCAATCTGCTCTTGGCAAGTTGGCTGTGGTTAGGCTGCCCTGAATGTGTTGGCTCTGCCCATGGCGAGGAGAAGGGTCAGAACGCCAGCCCCAGCAGTGCCAGGCTTGGGGGACTTGCTGCCAGCTGCAAAGCCGAGACTGCAGCTCCCCTCTCCCCGCCCGTTGTGCTATAATCCTGCAGGACGCGCTTCAAATCTGCCGTCAGCAAACGGGGAGGAAACCTCCCTCAACCCTTCTCCCCCGCTAGTTTGGGAGCCTGGGTTCTCCCCAGCGAAGTCGGGCTCCAGATGATGAGCGTGCTAGCACCAGTGCGGAGGGACCGGATCATTGCGGAGCTGCCTCAGGTAAGCAGGCCAGTGCTTCGAGGCGGGGCCAGGGGAGGGTGATGGATACCCGCGGGGGCCCAAGGGAAGAAGAGTATCAGAGCCGGGGAAGGAGCCAAGCTCTCCGGGTTCTGCCGCACCTGTGAAGCGCGAGCCGGGGGGATTGTTGGGGGTGCTGAGCGGGTTCTCCCCAGCTTGTCCTCGGTCTGGCTGACATGGTGGCAGCTCCCTACCCCGCCCCCTCAGCTGGGACTGCTCCGTGTGTGGTCCCTGCCACAGGCTGTCCATCCCCTCTCAGCAAGCCGAGCTAGGGAGAGCCGCAGGGCGCCGGATGTCGCAGCGTGTGTGGCTGGCTGTTCCGGGCAGGCTCCGGGGGCATTCCCGCTCGGGCTCTCTTTGGGGGAGCCATTAGCGGGCACTGCCGACTTCCCAGGAGCTGCCAGCTCACTGTCTGTGTTCCCATTTCAGTGCTTTCACAAAGAGGCCGCCCTCCATTCGCGCTCCAGCTTTCATCCCCAAGTAAGCGGCGCCTGCCAGGAGCAGCGAACGGGGACAGTGGGGTAAGCTGTGCTGGGCCGCGGGGAACTCCCGCCTCCCAAGGGAAGGGACAGAGCCCTTTAAGAGCAGCATGCCCCGGATCCTGGGGACCTCATCACGACTGCCCTGAGCCAGCCCAGGCCCGAGCCGTTTGGTGCCAGGGACAGCCCTGCGCTGGGGGAGTTTTCGGGATGGAGTGGAACCCAATCAGGCTGCTTTGGTTTTTCCCAGCAGCCGGGGAGGGCTGAGCAGTGTCTCTTTAAGAGCCCTGCGTGCTGGGGCATGGCTGGAGCTTACGCACATTGCAGGAATGTGCTGGGGAGGGGAAGGGGAGGAGGTGGGGGTCCTGCCTTGGATGAGACTCCCAGGGCCTCAGGAAAGCGCCTCTCCGCTGGGCCTGATCCCCAGAGAAATGAGACGGGTTGGCCTGAAATCCCCCCGGAGCCAGAGCAGCAAGGCAGAGGGAGCTCCGTGCATCCTTGCCTCCCTCTGGCTCAGCAGCCGAGGGGAACCCCAGCCCTGCCCGGCTCAGAGCTGCGTGCTGGGAGGGAGCGGGAAGGCCTGTGCCCAAGCCTGTGGCAGTGAGCAGCTGGGAGGAGGGGCCCAGAGCAGAGCAACGTCGGACTTGCTGCTGGAGGTGACTGGGGGGCTCAGTGGGAGATGCCGTGCACTGGCTCCCCAGCACAGCGGTCAGGGAAACCGGCACCGTCTGAGCCTGGGGGCTGGTCGCCCTACCAGCTCCCCAGCATCGCGGTGCTGGTCCCCACTCTGTGACCGGGGGTTGCTCCACATTGCTGCTGCCCCAGGACTCGACTCGGAGTCTCCCTAAAGTCCCCTTACAAAGTGCCCAGCCTGCCTGCCGTGGGCAAGGGGGTCTGGAGCCTGGAAACCGCCTGCGGTTCATTCGGCATTGTCTGGCCTCCCTGTTGGATGGAGTCTGGGGGAAGCTGCAGCCAGGTCCAATGTCCAGATCTGTAAAAGCAAAAGGGCTATGGGGTAGGGTGCATGGGGGGAGCAGCGGG